CTCCACGCCGTGGAATTTAAGTGGGCGTGGTCCCTCCGCAACGTCGGGCAAATTAAAGGGGGGCTTCTCCGTGTGTTCCAGGGCGCGCAGCATGGGGCCTTCGCGCGGAGAAGCGACGAGAATCGCTGCTCATCCCTTGTCGGGCGGCAAGCCAGGTTCGACCTGTGCCAGCGGTGGGGCCCAGCTCCCCCGTATAAGTGATTTCCTTGATACCGATGTGCGGCTCCATCTCCCCGGCCGCCTGGCGCGCCGACGTGCCGCCGGGCGCGGTTTAGACCTGTGCCCGCGGCAGTCGACGAGCCCGCTCATGAGCTGCTCCAATGCTGGGCGCCGTCCGCCGTGGGCGGCGCGCTCGCGGCGCCAGTCAATGGGGCTCGCCGGGATAGCGGGGGGCCCCCCGCGCGCGCGGCGGCTGGCCCCCCAGGGTAGGGAAGTTGCGCGACCTGTCGCGCGCGCCCTGCCCGCCCTGGCCGCTCGCCTGCGCGAAGTGACCGTCCTTGATGCGTGGCGCGGGAGGGATTCGCGAGCGCGACCCAGCCCCCCGGCCGTGGCGGGTGGAGGCGCTGCCCAACGTTCAAGACTCGCCTGCTTTTCCGCGAAGTCATCGAATGGTCCGCGCAAGCCACCAATCGCCCATCCGCGGCCGAAGCGGGGTGCCGAAAAGGGTGGGCCGACTCGCCGCTGCCGTGGGGCGGGCGCCGTCGCGCTGGCCCTCGCTGTCGTCGGCTTTCCCCTCGACGACTTTCTGCTGAGCAAACTTGCCCCGTCGAGCGCAGCTGGGGCATGATCGCGAGAACGCAGGCCGGCGAGCCCCTTCGACGAAGGCCCGCGGCCCCGTGGATGTACTCCGCGCGAGTTGCCACTCCGAGGTGGAGAGCCCGATCGCGAGGATCATAAGGGTGCCGCTCGAAGGCCGGGGTTGTTCTCGGCCCTCGCGCCCGGCCTGCCGCCCGCCAGCGCGCGGGGGCGTCGGCGGCCGGTCCCGGCGCCGAAGTGCGTGGCAGCGCCCTCCGCGGAGATGGCTGAAGGGGCCCGGGCCGCGGCCGCGAAAACAAACCACTCGACGACAGGGGGCGGGCGACTCCCCGTGGCGCCCGCGGTGTCCAGGGGATCTAAATGCGCCCTGCTCTCGCCGCCTCGAGCGCCCACTCGGCGCGCCGGCGGCGGCCGCGCCGCCGCGGGTGCAGGCGGCGGTGGGCTGAAGCTCTCATGGCGTTAGCTCTCCCCGGGACTGCGGCCGAGCCCCTAGCCTGACCGCGTCGGGGCGTGGCGAGACGAGCCCTGGGTGATCGCCTGCAGGCGAGCATGGCAGGCCTCCCCCTGCACCGGCGCGCCTCTGGAGCTTCGTGAGGTAGAGCTCGGTGCAGCCTGAGTCCAGCAGAAGATGCCGTGTAATTATCCGACCTCTGTCGCTGTGCACCGTCTCGACCTGCTGGAAGAGCAGCGTCGCCAGGTCGCCCGCGGCCCCGTAGTCGCCCTGTGCGATTCTGTCCACCGCCTCTGCCAACGCCTGGAGCTCGCTCTGGCTCAGGCCTGTCGTCGAGCATCCTGTCGCAAGCAGAAGGGCCGCAATGATGTGCGCGCAGACGACAGGCTGCCGCAACCCATGTCCATGCTCGCGCCCTGCCCCGCCGCCAAGAACCGTTTCATCTCCGATGTGATCTACCTCGTGAAGTAGCCTGGACTCTGGGTCATGCTCTCCCCGCGCTTTTTGGCCAACGTCCGAAACCAAGTGGCGCTGCGGCGCGAAAAAGAAGAGCGGCCGCGCGAACTGGAGGAGCCCCTGCGGCGCCTGCGCCGGGATGCTGCAGTTTCTCCTTCCGTGTCTTGCGGCGGGCCTCCAAATCCTCCGCTTTCCTGCAACGCCGCGTTGAAAAGTGCTCTCCAGGCAACGGGCGCAGGAGCCTGCGGTGGGGCCGAAGCTCGGGAATGGACGGTCCCCTATCGTGGAGGTCCTGCTCCTGGCTTTGCACCGGAACCGCCCGCAACCCCGCCGGCGAGAACTGATTGAGCGACATGCCGTCATTTACGTGCCGCTCTTTCAAGGCCGCGAGCTCCGATCGAAGATCAAGTGCAGGACGTCCACGATTCGCATTCTCGGGGCCAGCGAGGTCGCGGGCAAGGACGCGGTGTCCATCCTCCGTGACAGACGAAACCATGTCGCCGCGTCCACCTTGCCACGTGCACGACTGCTCGACCAGTTCGCTCGCCTGGGCATGCCGCGTTGGCCGCGCAGAAGCGAAGCAGGGGGCTTCCAGCCTGTCCGAAGGCCTCCTTGAACTCCTTGGCAACAGCCTCCTGCACGGCGCCACGGTGACCTCCGCGTAAGCGCTGCCGCTGGTGATCGGGCGCAACGCGGTGACTTGGAAGAGGATGCGGTCGTTGGAGTTCGTGAGCTCCCATTCCGCGCAATTGTTCTCCAGGAGCTGGCCTGCCTTGACCCCTTTCCGCCATGGGTTTGGCTCCGCTCGTCTGGCACATAGGGGAACAACGCCCGAATACACATAAGCTTTCGGATGTGAGGGCGGAAATCAGGCGCGCGGAGCGCGCCAGGGGCATCGCCAGAGGCACCGCCAAGGTGGCCCAACGCAGATCCAACAAATCCGCGCGGACCTCCAAGAATTGTATGCTTGTGCAATTTTTGCTCCTCGAACACGGGAGCGCGTCCGCGCTGGGCAAGGGAGGCAGATGCAGACCTCCCTCGGGCCCTCCGCCAGGCCGCTGGGACAAAGGCGATGTTGGAGGACAACGTCGACCTGCATTTACAGAGCCAATCCTTGGGGCATGTGCCAAATGTCGTTCTCGCTGTGGCAACGAGCGTCTATAGACAAATTGGGTGTCGCTGCGTACGTAGACGCATTTAGGGCGGCCGTTGCGTTCGGCGCAATACAAAGTCGGAGAAGGGGTATATCCGTCTTACGGTATAATTCTTTTCCAAAGCAGGTCCCACATGGTACTCCAAAAGCAATGGTCCTTCTCGCGGCTTCGCCGCGGAGCCTCGCCGCAGCAGCCGCGTCCACGGCACGGCCGCTGCGGCCACCCGCTCGTCCACGCTCGCGCTGGCCTCCACGGCTCTTTCGCAGCAGCAGCTGGGCGCCTCTTCGGCGGCATGCCTGAGGACAGCGGCGAAGGCCACGCGGACCACAAGCAGGAAGCCGGCGACCATGCGACAGCAGGAAGTAACCCCTGGCACTGTCAAGCGGCGCCTCGCCCGCGGGGAAGCCCGCCAATGGCCAGCGCTGCGCTGAAGCTCGAAATTGCCGATCCATCCGCGGCACTGCGGGCCGCGTGCGGGGCCGCACTGTTAGCCTCGAGCGGCTTGAAAACAAGATGGCCATGGAGATGCTGCATATGGGAAGCATCCGATGACGTATCTCTTCCTTCTTGCGCTTGCCATTGGGCCATGGCATGACGACTGCGAAGAAGAGGCGTTGCTTGTCTAGTTCACTAGCGCGTCACCCTCGCATGCGCATGGTAGTTTGCCAGCGCGTCATCCTCGCCTGCTCATTGCTCACACAAGTCACGGCGGACAGTGCATTATCGATGCCTGGACGGCAGTAACCGTAGTCTGGGAGTCCTGCGAGCGCAGGAACACGATGCCGAGGTGCAAACGCGAGGGCGATAACAATGATGATGACGCGAGCAGGAGCAGCAGGAGGAGCAGGATGAACATGATATTGGAGATGAGGAAAAGGATGAGGAAGACCAGGTGAGGAGCGGCATGAAGACACTGGATGACCAGAAGGGGGGGAGGAGGAGGAGGAGGAGGAGGAGGAGGAGGAGGAGGAGGAGGAGGAGGAGGAGGAGGAGGAGGAGGAGGAGGAGGAGGAGGAGGAGGAGGAGGAGGAGGAGCAGGATGAGGAGGAGGAGAGGAGGAGGAGAGGGAGGAGGAAAAGGAGGAGGAGGATGAAGATGAGGAGGAAGGAAGAGGATGAGGAGGATGAGGAGGATGGTGAGGAGAAAGGTGCTGCTGCTGATGCTGATGATGATGATGATGATGGTGGTGAGATGATGATGATGATGATGATGATGATGATGATGATGATGATGATGATGATGATGATGATGTGATGATGGATGATGATGATGATGATGATGATGATGATGATTGATGCTGATGCTGATGCTGATGCTGATGCTGATGCTGATGCTGTGATGATGCGGAGGAGGAGGGGAGGGGGAGGAGGAGGAGGGAGGAGGAGGAGGCGGAGGAGGAGGAGGCGGAGGAGGAGGAGGAGGAGGAGGAGGAGGAGGAGGAGGCGGAGGAAGAGGAAGAGGAGGAGGAGGAGGAGGAGGAAGAGGAGGAGGAGGAGGAGGAGGAGGAGGAGGAGGAGGAGGAGGAGATGATGGGAAGAGGGGGGGAAAGAGAGAAGGAAGAGACAATGCATTGGGCTGCGCACAGACAGCCCTGAGAGGCAGCCCCGGCGGCCTGGGCTGGTCTCGACCCCCCCCTTGTGGAGCGGGGCGCCGTGCTTCGGGGTGGCGTGCGCCGGAGGCAGTGTGTGGGCGCTGGGGCGGCCCACAGACCACCCTGGCCACCCTATGGGCCTATGGGCGCGTCGAAGCCAGCACGGGACTGCCTCCAGGGCGGCTGTCTGTGCGCCAGCTCCCGGGCCTTGCTGGGGAGGCGGGCTGTCCAGAGGCGTGGCGGCAATTTTTCCGTGACGTCAGCCCCCGGGGGGGCGGGAAACAGCCGCCAGACGCAGGAAACGTGAAAAACAGCGGCCACACATTAGTTTGAGGAACGTACATCGTTTTGAGGGCGGGCCCCTGCCGCTACTTTTCAGCACGGGGCGCCCGCAAGTCCCGCCCGTTTCCCCAAGTCCATCTTCTCGTCCCGAGCTACTTTTCGACGGCCCTGTGGCCCAGCGAGGCTGCCAGGAGGCCGAGCCACGGCGCATGTCGTCCGCCCTGAGTTTGTCAATGCGCTGGAGGTCTGGGGGGCGGGAAGGGGCTTCCGGCGCCCGAGCCAAGCCCCGACAGCGCATCGGGCGGTGAGCCTGCGGCTTCTCCTTCGCGTCCTTGTCCTTCTCCGCCGGCGGCGCAGCTGCGCTCGCCTTGTCCGGCCCATGCCGCAGGCGGAGATCCTCTGTCATGCTCCCTGCTCCTCGCTTCTTCTTTTTCTTCTGCTGCTGCTGCTGCCGCGGTCTGCTGCCCCGATTGGCTGACGCAGAGCCCCATCGATACGTAGTTTGATTCGTGACGCTCCCTCTGTGTTCATCGCGTTGCCCAGCCCGGTGTCGTCATTCCAATCATGTCCCAGATCCAACGTTCTGCCCTGCTCCCTGCTCCTCGCTTCCTGCTACTTCCTCCTTCCCTCCTCCCTTCTCCTCAGAGCGACCAAGAGAAACGGACCTTACGCGAGATGACATAGCGACCTTCAGAGGTGGCTGACGCAGGCCGCCAATGCGAACCGCTGCATTGGAAACGATGACGCTTGAGCGCGCTCGGTCTTACGCGGCCAACTTACGCGCGAATGTCCAGGCAAACAAACCTGTTGTCTTCCGTCGCTCGTTTTTTGTTTCAGGCCGTCTCTCGTAGCTTCCGTCACAATCTCAACCTATTCCTGCTGCGCTGCTGCGCTGGCATGGTGGCGGGGTCTGCCGCAGGCAGTTGGGTTTCATATGATAACAAGTCGCCAAAAAGGACACGAGACCGCTCGAGGGCCCACGGGTTGAAACAAGTCTAGACGTCGGAAGTTCAAGTTTAGGAAGGGACACGAAAAACCAACACACGGGACTGAACATATCCTGCATAATCATGCACGCAGCCAAGACTGGCCAACATGGAACAGACCATTGAGGCTTGTATTGGCCTCTGGAGGGTACGCCTGACTGTCTGCTGCCCCATTGCCACTCGGAAGGGCAAAGCCTGCCTGAAACAAAAAGCATGACCCGGCGACAAGAAGCACGGCCAGATCCATCAACCCCATCTTCGGCCGTGGTTTTCCGAACCCGATCCATCCGCGAGGGTCCTGGGGCCTGACACAGGACGTAATCTATCCGTCGTGGTGCGTTTCGCGACGCCCAGATGTCACGGGAAGGTGCGGGGAGCTGAGGTGAGGGACTTGGCTCATGGGGGAAACGTCGTTCTGGATCGGACGATACTGCATCGCCGATAGGTCTGCGAGGGGCCACCCCGAGCCCCCATCGGAACTAGCAGCAAAAACGCCCCAAACACGACCGGCAACGCGCACGAGCGGCGACGATTGGGGCAAAGAGCCCAGGGGCGGGCATTACATGGGTTCGCTGGGCAGCCTCGCCGATGATATGGACCATCGACGCCACTGGATACATGTAGTGCTCCGCCCTGGACTGTTCGACCCCATCGTCGCCTCCGGTCGCACAAATGTTGAAACATCACATTGGGGGACGCGGGGGCTTTGAGCGCAGTGGCGTGGGCCTTCACGCCCAGCGGGCGCCTTCTAATGCCACTGGCGATGCCCATATCCTTGCCCTCGCGGTCCAGATGCATCACCCCACTTATTTTCCAGCCAGAGCTATAACATCATCTTTCGTGTGCTTGCACAATTTTACTGCTTGACTGGCGCGGAAAAAGTCCGCAATGCTCAGGAGTGCTCATGGCGCCGAAGATGGTATCCATTGTCGGCGTACGCCTCGCTGTGCGGAGCAGGTTACGAGCTCGAGCTCGAATTGGCTTCACTCCACCGAGAGCGAGCATAATGATGTCTACAAGGGACGGAAATTTTATGGTCGGTGAGGGGAGGATTGGTGGTGCGCAGCAGGGGATGGCAGGGGGATGCCTTCTACGAAGGCAGGGGGCTCCTTTGAAGGGCTGGGATGCTGTCGAGATGTTTTTTTTACAAGGCGGGATGGTCTATCCATCGACAGGTTCATCGCAATATCTACGGGGTCATCGATCTGGTCTGTTCCTGCTCTGGCCCTTCAATCCCCCAGTGTTTTTCTGTTTCTCGCTGCGAGTGTGCTGCACGATGACACCACAACAAACGATGGGTATTAGCGGGGACAAGCCCGACGCCAGAGCAAAAAACAACTCGTCGCGCGGCCAAGGCCTCCTCGTCAACCGCTCTTCCTCCCACCCATCCTCCTACGCGAGGCCGCCGCCTATACAAGGTCGCGCAACTCAATTCGGACAGAAGCCCGCCAGCAGTGCACCGGCCGAAGGCGCGGCGCGTCGGCTGTGAGAGTCATGAGACACCATTGAAGTCGCCTGCTCTACTTGGCAAGGGCCACCAGCGGGACTGCGAACAACCGTGTCTGCAGCACTGGATACAAATCGGGGTCACGCCGGCGCTGGATCCTTGCCTGCGACGGGGCTCTTCGAGGCAGCGCGCAAGGTGGCGTTGGCCAGGTGCCACTTGCAGCCCTCCCGCGGCCCAAGCTGGCCAACTCGGAGAGCAGGGCGCGGGGTCCTCACGCGAGGTTCCACCTGCACCATCAGCCCACTGCCTTTTCAGAAGGCCGCCCCGCTCCCCCATCCCCGTCTGCGCGCCGCCGAAGGGAGGAGGACGAGGAGGTTGGCAAAGCAGAAAGGAGGATGTGGACGAGGAGGAGGAGCAGCGGCAGCCGAGGGAACGCGGCGGCGGTGGTGGAGCGGTGTTGGGCCGAGTCGAGCAGAACTACGAGAAATCCGCCGGCCCCCTTGTGGGGCCACCAGGCTGTAGGCCCGTGATTCGCAGTTTCCTATACCAGTCGTAGGTTGTAGTTTCCAGTGTTGCAGTTCTGCTTCTTGCTGGTTACTGTAACTAGTTGATTGACCGCGCGAGGGGGGGGAGGCCCAAACCAGATTTTTAGCACCCCCTGGGCGCGTTGTCTGAATTGCTGGGGGGGCTCGAAATCGACACCCCTCACGCAGATCCGCGGGGTCAGGGTCCAAAAACACAGGGGATTTGCCACATTTCTGAAATTCGATGCCACCCCTCACGCAGATCCGCGGGGTCAGGGTCCAAAAACACAGGGGATTTGCCACATTTCTGAAATTCGGTGCCACCCCTCACGCAGATCCGCGGGGTCAGGGTCCAAAAACACAGGGGATTTGCCACATTTCTGAAATTCGGTGCCACCCCTCACGCAGATCCGCGGGGTCAGGGTCCAAAAACGGGGTCAGGGTCCAAAAACACAGGGGATTTGCTACATTTCTGAAATTCGGTGCCACCCCTCACGCAGATCCGCGGGGTCAGGGTCCAAAAACACAGGGATTTGCCACATTTCTGAAATTCGGTGCCACCCCTCACGCAGATCCGCGGGGTCAGGGTCCAAAAACACAGGGGATTTGCCACATTTCTGAAATTCGGTGCCACCCCTCACGCAGATCCGCGGGGTCAGGGTCCAAAAACACAGGGGATTTGCCACATTTCTGAAATTCGGTGCCACCCCTCACGCAGATCCGCGGGGTCAGGGTCCAAAAACACAGGGGATTTGCCACATTTCTGAAATTCGGTGCCACCCTTCACGCACATCCATCGCAAGGCGTGGTAACCCAAACTGCGAGAACTCCCTCGGCCCTTTAATCGCAAGGTGTGGTAACCAAGCCTGTAAACCATACACGTCTTACCAATCGCCAGGTGTGGTAACCCCTCTTGTGATCAGTTGGTTTTGCTGATTGCGAATCGGCTTCGCATGAAGTTTCGATACTGCTTCACGACAGCGCCAAGGCCTCATGACTTAGCTCTTCCATGGCACATTCTCCGAGAGAGGGGGCCGGCGGCAGGGGGCGAAGCCCTTACGGATAACATTACGAACAAACATTCCTGACGTGCGACCTACTGTGCGTGGTAAACATGCTGCAAATAGAAGGTCCCAACGGCGGGAGACACGAATTGTCCTCGCTCAACCAAGGCTACACCAGCGAGACAGAGTGCAACGCGGACCCAGGACAGAGCCGAGGGATGAGCCTGAGGAGGACGGGTGCAAAGCGCGACCTCGAATTCGGGGTGCCTGCGAGCTCCAGTACCTTGGAGCGGGCCCCTCCGGGGCCAAGCAAGAAGATCGAGGTCTCCAGATAACCACTTGTGCAATGGCTAGGAGGTGCTGCGCGATGGCAACACAAAAAACGACGGGTATGAGCGGGGCCCAGCCCGACGCCGGAAAAAGGCAACTCCTTCGCGCGGCCAAGGCCTCCTTGTCAACCACCCTTCCTCCTCCTCCTCCTCCTCCTCGTCCTCGTCCTCGTCCTCCTCCTCCTCCTCCTCCTCCACGAGGCCGCCGTTAGAAGGGTCTCGCAACTCCACGCAAGCAGAAGCCTGGTATGGCGCGGCGCGACGGCAGAACTGAAATTCTTGAAGTCGCGTCGAAAACAGCTCATGGGCAGCAGGCACCAACGGTGCATCACTGGAAAAAGACGGGGGTCATGTCGGCGCTGGATCCTTATCCGCGCCTGGGCACTTCGTGGCCGAGCGCAAGATGGCGATGGCAAGGTGCCAATAGCAGCTCTCCTGTGGGCCACGCTGGCTATCATCACCCTTCGCCGCTGCAGCGGAGAGCAGAGCAGAGCAATTTAACGTGGGCGGAGTCCTTCTGGCGTTTTCGCGGCGGTGCTGAAGTCCTGCGCGGCCCACGCCAGCAACTTCTCCACGTCGTCGGGCAGGCGACACTCCAACTTGACCATCAATGCCCGTCGCTGCTCGGCTGGAAGGCTTGCGACCAATTTCAGCGGGACGGGAACTGCTGCGCCCGATTCCCCCTGTGGATCTCTCTTTGTGGACTGGCTTGTGGGCGCCCAGAGCCACTTGGGCTGGTCTTGGACCGTACCCTGTGACGCCTCCTCGACCATGGAGATGTGCCGCTTGGCTCTCTCGCGCAACTTGTCCATGTCGCGATGCAAGCAAGCCTCTGTCTTGGCTATGAGCGCCCTCCGCTGCTCCGAGGACAGCCCCCCGAGGGAGTCCGGCGAAGGAGAAGCTGCTGGACCCAGCCCCTTGCGCAGAGTCGCGTACGGCGTCGGGCACGACGACGCAGGTGAGGCCAAGGACTGCTCCTCGTCGCGCTTGAGCATGGCCCCTGGTCCGGGCCCAGCGACCCGCCGCTTCTCCAGGGAAGGGCTCTCGAAGTCGACGGTGCCCAGAAAGGGAGGGCGCGGGCCGCAGCCTGAGAATCGAGCGTTTATACAGATCCACCGCCTGTTCCCCCTCCCTCGCCCTCCTCCTCTGAATGTTTTTCTTTTGTCTGGGGGCGTAGAGTGAGGGAGGAGTAACTCAGACGCCTCCCTTCCTATCCTGTTGTTTTCTTCCCCTGGAGGGCCGAGGCCTATTCCAGCAGCTGGAGCTCGACGAGAGCTTCCAAACGGCGGCTCTACTGCGCCGATCGGCCCTCCGTGGGCTTCGCCCGAGCTTGGGAGCCGATTCGACAAAGCAGTAAAGGATGCGAGCCATCACGGAGGGGGGGGGGGGGGGCTGGAACGAGGTGGATCTGCATCGTTGTCCTCCTCCGACCAGCCTGCCACCACCGGAGGCGGCTGCGCGCCGCGGACGGAGGCTGGGCGCAGCGGCACGGCGGGGGGGCCATCGTTGCGGAGCTTGCCGCCGCAGGCGGTGCAGCACCGGGCGAAGGCCAGCTCGGCAGCGACCCGCGCCCCACACCACCCGCAGAAGTGGACGGGCTCAAACACCCCAGGAGGGCGCGCGGGCGCCACGCCGGGGCCCGGCCCCTCACGAAGAGGCACTCCCTCGGCGCCGCGCGCGGGCTGGCTCACCGAGCAAAGGCCCAGCGGAGGCCTCAGGGGCGGGCTGGGGATGCCTTCCCTGCAGAAGGGGTGGACGTGACTGGCGCTCCTCATGCTGGGATTTCGTGGTTGACACCTCTGCGACCAGCACCAATCGACAGGCTGGTTTACGCTTCGTCGCCGCTGAGCGCAGCAATCATGCACCTTGAGCCATACTGGATGCGGGTCTTTCTGTGAGCATGGTCATGAACTTACACAAGCAGCTGGGCCAATAGTAGCTGCCCGCCGTATGCACCTTCCCTGCTCATAATCTGGCCAAAGGAACCAAATGACCGAACCTGCCCCAATTGCTCGAATCTGCCGTCACACCCATATGATGGACCCTCAGGCTGCGAAGGCCATGCTTCAGCAACACATCATGTTCCAATTCGGCAGTTCACGACGTGGCTCACTTCTCAGCTCCTCAACTCCTCAATGATAGCCTAACTTTTTCCTGCGCGCGCGCGATCCGCCTGGGTCCGCGAGAAACCCACTCCATCACGAAACCGTCTTTCCAGAGTTTACGAGCGCCTTGCGAGACAGTCGAGCACAATTGTCCCGCGCTTCCGAGGCCACGGCCCCTCGTGAGATGTACCTCGGGCATGGCGAGAAACGCTGCTGCTCGAAACCATTGCTGATCGTGCCGCCCCTCGCCGTCGCTTGCGGTTACCTGCTGCTGCTTGGGTTTGCTTGCGGATGCTTGCTGCCACGTGCTGCCGGTTGCCGTTGCTCGCCGCTGTGTGCTGCCGCCTGCTGTCGCTTGGGCCCCTGTCTTCGCGCCTCGCGTGCGTCTCTTCCAGACTCGTGGGGCCTACTGGGCAATCTCGAAGCCTTTTGGCCCGTCTCGGGACTCTCCGGGGCGGCTTGGGAACACTCTCGGGCCACTCTCGGACCGTCCTGGGGGCCTTGAAGAGAACAAAAACTGGGCGCCTCGGGGGGCTCTCTAGGGTTGTCCTGGTGCCATCCTGGACCGTCTCGGGGCTCTCTTGGGCCGTCTCGGGCTCCGCTGGAGACTGCTTGTGCAGTCTTTGGAGGACTCTTGGGGCCCTCTTGAGTGTGTATTGGGGCCGTCGTAGATCGCCCATTAAGCTGTCCTGAAGACACGATTCGAGGAGTACTACTACTGCGACAACCACCACCACCACCACCACCACCACCACCACCACCACCACCACCACCACCACCACCACTACTACTACTACTACTACTACTACTACTACTACTACTACTACTACTACTACTACCACTACTACTACTACTACTACTACTACTACTACTACTACTACTACTACTACTACTACTACTAATACTATTACTACTACTACTACTACTACTACTACTACTACTACTACTACTACTACTACTACTACTACTACTACTACTACTACTACCTACTACCTACTACCTACTACCTACTACCTACTACCTACTACCTACTACCTACTACCTACTACCTACTACCTACTACTACTACTACTACTACTACTACTACTACGTTTGCTACTTTTACTACTATTTCTACTACTACTACTACCACGACGACGACTACTACAACTACTACTCATACTAATACTGCGACGACTACTACTACGACTACTACGACTACTACGACTACTACGACGACGACGACTACGACTACGATTACGACTACGGCTACGACTAGGACTACGACTACGACTACGACTACTACTACTACTACTACTACAACTACTACGACTACTTCTACTACTACTACTTCTACTACTACTTCTACTACTACTACTACTACTACTACTCGTACTTCTACTACTACCACTACTACCACTATTACTACTACTACTACGGTTACTACTACTACTACTGCTACTACTACTACTACTACTACGACTACTACTACTACTACTACTACTACTACTACTACTGCTACTATACTTACTCTACTACTACTACTACTGCCTTACTAACTACTACTACTACTACTACTACTACTACCAGTACTACTGCTACTACTACTACCACTACCATACTTACTCTACTACTACTACTACTACTACTACACTACAACAACAATACTACTACTACACTCTACTACTCCTACTCCTCCTACTACGACTACTACTACTACTACTACTACAACACTACTACTACTACTACTACTACTACTACTACTACTACCACTACCACTACCACTACCTACCACTACCACTACCACTATCACTACCACTACGACTGCTACTACTACTACTACTACTACTACTACTACTACTACTACTACTACTACTACTACTACTACTACTACTACTACTACTACTACTACTACTACAACAGCAACTACTACTACTACTGCTACTACTTTGTCAATATTTGTTCAAACTGATTGTTTCCGGAATCTTGAAGTGGTGCTCCCGTCGTTCAAAATGGCGCCCTCGTCACAGCGCGGGCCACTTTTCTGGATCCGAGTTCGTTTTAGCTGTTGTCACCCCCCCATTTCCCCTCCTCCGCCCTCCCCTGGTCCTACTGCTCCTCGGGCTCTTTCCAGTCCAACTCCACGTCGCTCATGCTCATTTCGAATTGTGCTCGACGAACTATGTGTTCTGCTGCTGCTGTTCGTTCTCGCTGTCCACAACTACACAATATGAATACTACTCTGCTCTCTGCCACGAAGATGTGCTGAGAGTGGCGCGACCCCCTCCGCGCATTTGTTTTTGGGCACAGGATTGGTCCGAATAGCTTGTTCTAGTATTTTTGTCCAAGCCGAAAGTTTTCGGTCCTTGCAAAATGGCGCTCCCGCTGCAGCGTGGGCCTCACTCCAAGATTGGCGCTGTGTTCCTGTCGTTCGGAATGGATTCTCTCCCCTCCTCCTCCTTCCCCTGGCCCTCCGGCTCCTCCCGCTCCTTACACCCCAGCTTCTGCTGCTGCTGTTCGTCGTCGTCGTCGTCCTCCTCCTCCTCCTCCTTCCTCATCCTCCTGCTCATCCGCGAACTCCTCCTCCAACGTACGCAGCTTCCTCATTTCGATTGGGCAAAACACGATCGGGTCCTTTCTGGAATTCCAGGCCTGCTATGACACGCGTCGGCGGAGAGAGAATACGTCAACGAAGGGATGGGAGGGAGCGGTAGGATGACAGATATGGCGCGAGCGCACCTAGCTTGTCTCTTCTCTTTCTCTTTCTCTTTCTTTCTTTCTCTCTCTCTCTCTCCTCCTGCCTCCTTTCGCCTCCCTCCTCCTCCTCCGCCCCGCTTGAAGAGACCCGTGCGCACCCCCGAGTGAGCGATCGAAAGAGAGGGGGGTCCTATGCAAGCGGACGTGGCGCCTTGGCCTTCGCGAGCCGCCGCCGCAGCACTCACAGTGGCAGGAGAGCGCTCACGCAGGACTTCACCCTGGGCAACTCGCGCGCCACTGTCCGCGCGGTCGGCCCCGTTTGCCCAAGCCGCTCGCGGGGCTTCGGGTTGCACGCAGACAGCCCACCCGGGCAGTCCCAGCCGGCCTCTCGGGTCGGGCGAAAGGGGGGGATAGCAAAGGGGGGGTTTGAGAATCAGCTCACGTAGCTGATTTCCCAGGCGCCTCCCGGCGCCGGAGGCGGCCATGTATCGAGGAACGGGCACCTCGGTGAGGCCGAAACCAGCTGCATGCAGCGAATTTCGTAACCCCCCCTTTCCCAATCCCCCCCTTTCGTCCGGCCCGAGCCTCAGCAGGCCCCCCAGGAGCAGTTCCAAGAGGCCTCGGCAGGCCCCCCAAGAGCAGGCCGGGGCGGCCTCCACACCTCAAGCCTGCGGAGCGCCGAGCTGGGGGGGGGGGCTGTCTGCGCAGACAGCCCGATGCCCAATCCTACGCCGCTCCAGCGGCTCCACGAGCACCGGGCCCACGAGTCTCCGGCTCCCATCTCGGCTCCCATGCGACGATGACGACGATGACGATGACGACGACGATGACGACGACGACGACGACGACGACGACGACGACGACGACGACGACGACGACGACGACGGCAGCGGCGGTGGCGGAGGCGAAGACGACACCGACGACACCGACGACACCGACGACCGACGAACGACGACGACGACGACGACGGGACGACGAAGAAGAAGAGAACAACGACGTACGGCGACGTACGACGACGACGACAGACGACGGCGACGACAATGACGACGGACGACGACGACGACGACGGACGACGACGACGACGTTCGGCGCTCCTCTGCTCTGGCTCCGGCTCGGGGCGGCGGAGCGCCAGATCACAGGGGCACCCTCGCCTCGTCTCGTCCTGACCCCCATCCCCCTCCCCGCTTGCTCCTCTTCCACCCCTCCTCCTCGGACGCAGTCTCCGCACGACGCCTCCTTTGACAACGCAGCGGGCCGCGACGACTCGCAGCCCGCCCTCCTCCTCGTCCCCGTCATCGTTCTCGCCTTCGTCTGTGCACTCCGTCTCTACCGCGGAGGCCTCTAAGATGGCTCCCGAGGTCCCTGGAAGCCTCTGGAGGTGCTCGGAGGCCTCTCGCCAGAAGCCCGAGAAGGGGCCAAATACGCGCCTCCTCATCCCCGCCCTCGTCCTCGCCGTCCACATCTGTGTCCTTGTCCCCATCCCCGCCCACGCCTCCACCGTTATCCTCGTCCGCTTCCGTGTCTTTGTCCCTATTGTTGCTCTCGTCGTTCTCATCCTCCTCTGTTTCCCCTTACAAGAACAAAAGAACGCATGACATATTTGTTTGGAGCTCCGCGCGGATTTCTTGGATCCGCGCTGGAACCCCCTCCCTGGCGCGCGGAGCGCGCCAGGGGCGGCGCTGGAGGCGCCGCGAGAAGGCTCCGGTGCGGATCCGGGAAGTCCGCACGGAGCTCGGACAGTTTACGTTTACACAATTTGTTATTCTTCCTTCTTTTTCTCCTGCTCCTCCTGGTAGCTCGTAGCTAGTGGCAAGAGTGTCATCCTGACGCTGCCATGCCCCCCCAAGGGCCGTTGCCCCGCAGGTTCATCAAAATAACGTAGTATTAACAAGGGAAGGAGAAGCGAACCGACTGACCCCCCGGCGGGGCAGGGTATCTGCTGCTCCTGCACCTCCTCCCTCCCCCTCCTGTCCTCCTCCTCGTTTTCCTCGCTC